GATGTCACAAGCTGCGGTTATTAGAATCGAGTAAACTGAAATATAGGGAAGTCCCACCAACCTTGTGTATCTGGGCAGCCTTTGTTTCCCACTTCTCTTTGCCTTCCTTCTCTGTAATAGAATCCAGCAACAGGAACACCTGAGCAATGGAGATTTTGGTGAGCGATGATTGGCTTGAATGGGCAGCTGCGGAACCCGGCTTGTCAGAAGCGAAGCCTGTAGGAGAATTCACGGTTGTTCCGGACGAGAGCGGCGAGAAGACACCTCTGGTAGATCCCGGCCCACCACCTCCTCCCCCAGTACCTCCTCCACCCGGGGTGGAGCCTGTAGCAGAAGCCAAATGAGACCCTATGGAAGGGGTGTGAGCTCGAAACTTTGGAGACGAGAGGGTTGTTGCGTGCTGTTGCGAGCCAGATTGCAATGATGTGAACGGCGAAGATGTGGGTTTGGGACTTCCACCAGAGAGACCCCTAGCAGAGCTCAGCACTGCAGAGAAAGAAGATGGTGTCGAAACCCCAAGGCCTGCGTCCAAGCCCCGGGAAGCCGTGGGGGGAGCGGCGGAGGATATGTTAGTCGCGAGTGGAGTCAACCCACGACGTGCGCCGGACTGCGACACGGACCGACCCCAGGCACCAATATCGGTCCTGGTCGAAGAAGATTTATCGGTGCCAGAAGCAATCGACGATTGGGCGGAAGGGTGAGGGGGAGGGAAGGTCATCTAGGAGACGCGATCATTTGATCTGGAGGTCCAAAGACAGATTTTTAAGGGTCACAGGCGCAATAAACGGGGGGAAATCGATAAAGCAGATCAATGAAATAGACGCGAGATCATGCGATATCGAGAGAGGGAGGGTATCGGGAAAAGAAGATGACACTGTGGGAGAGGAATGGATGGGGGAACGATGAGATGGAGAGGTTGCAAGAGGAATGGGGTGCAAGGTGCGAGTTGTCGGAAGTGTGGCTGCCTCAGGTGTCAAGCGGGAGCTCCCAATCGGACACAACGGTGCAATACAATGCACACCTTGCCGTTTTTCAAGTGTCAAAGGGTTACTTGAACTTTACCCAGGCCTAGACGAGATCATTGTGTGATTATTCCTTCCCTTGTTATTCATTACCTGTCATTTTCCAACCTGCATGTTAGAATTGGGTGTTTGGTCACGTGCCATGTCTCTACACGTGATGCATGGCTGAGTCATCTACTCTGGGATCCACCTATCTGCACGGGTCCGTGAATGCCCCTACTATGACTTCCCTTGATGAAGCAAAACCTGCTCTGCTATAGACAGGGTAGTTTGAGCATAACCCGACAACTGTCCTCGCTTTCACTTTTTTCTATCTCGAGCTTCTTACTCTGAGATCCATGAGGCGGAATTCCCTCTGATGGCCAATATGCTACATTATCCTATAGAGAAACCAAGACAAATTGTCTACATATTTTGCAACATGATTGAGAGTGATGATGATAGAACTGTTTCTCCATCAGATGTTAAGATAGGATAAAATTCAACCCAGAATCCTAAAAGCATAGTAGATGAGAACGATATATGATCAGACATAACGCAGTACCTGAACCTTACCAATAAAATGAACGCCAGATTTGGAACCAGTAAGAAGAGCCAATCAAGAGATAGAGGAAATATAACCCAAGAAATATGAAAGAATAACTCGCAAAGTAATGAGAATCATGTCATGCCGCAATGACAGGTGGCAAAAAAGGGAAAGCACAGTCACGGAGAATGCAATAAACGAAACATCCCACAAGGCAAGTAGCTTGCGGGGACAGAAAGATAAAATCACACAGTCAAGAAGAAAAACGATCATGTGCACATGAGTTTAAGACCAATTCGCTGGCCAATCCAACCCTAACGCCTAGGTCCACAGCAGGAGGGACCACAATGAATAAATGATATTGTTTCAGGTTGAGTCCGACTAGCCAGTCAGAGACACACAGTAGCATGGGCTGGCGTAGGATGCCTTGGCAGTGTACGTCTGGGCAGTGCCACCATTGTAATTGGTGTAGGTAGTAGTCGGCGTGGGCTCATTCTCTTTGATGTTGACAATGTTGCCCGAGAGAAGCGCCAGACCCCCATTATTGCGGATTTGCATTTGTTGACAGTAGGGAGATTCGCGCGATGGGTCGTCTCGGCGCTCCTCCATCTTGATCCTCCGTGGGTAATCGACGGTGGGGGATTCGCCGCGTTTGGAGTCGGCGCTTAAGCCAGCTGTGCTTGCCGGCATGTTGCTGTTGATGGCAGCGGTGGAGCCCAAGGAATATGACGTCGATTGGTTGACATACAGGAAGAACTCCATCATCGTATTATTCCACCAACAGAACCACGGCTTGTCGCCGACCTCTGCAGCCTGCTTCAGGTTCTTGTAGGCGTCTGCCTGTGCCCACCCGTCTTCCACCCATGTGCGCTTGGAAAGGGAGTTAGAGAATGTATCCTCCGGGACAATGACCAACTTGTCGAACGGCGAAAGGAAGAACAAAGCAGGGCCCATGCCAATATCGGTGGTATCAATGGCCATACTTAATGCTTGTGTAGGTGCAGCAGACCAATATGGCGCCTGGGCACCATATGTGAAGGTCGTGGTTGGAGGACCATAGTCGAAAGCGATGGAATAGTGACCTTTTGATTCGCCGATATGAATGGCAAGTTCGCTCGGCGTTTGCATGCATTTCCAGGCTTTCCCGTAATTCGACTCGTCCACGCAAAGCCCCGATCCATTCTGATAACCGGAAGGAATCAGATAGCTGCCGGTAGGGATTTCTTTGATATTTGTGGGGGTTGATATCATGGACGCATCCATCTGAGGAGTCGCAGTGACCGTTATAATTGGTAAGGCGCTGGACTTTTGTGCTTCTTGGTCATCCTGTGTAGCTTCTGCAGCTTTCTTGGTTCCCAGAATACCCCCAATAATACCTCCAATACATCCTCCAATGAGCATCACAGTCGCAATGAGGACCAAGGTCCACACTGGCAGGCCACAACATGCGGTCTGTTTCCCCTTGCGTTTGAGCTTCTCTTCGAAAGCCATGATGCCTGTGGTGGCAGCAACTGTTTCCTCTCCATTTCCATCATCGTTCCCACCACCAGGATGTTCAGGCATCAAAGCCCTTGATGATGTTTCTGAAACCGGTGGTGCTCTTGGGCTTTCATTGTTGAGACGATGTTCCTCCGGCGGGGTCTCGCGATCGGCTGTCGGGTCAGCCCCTGGAGGCTTGGGTACAACACCAGTTGGATAGCGTGAATAGGGTGGTAGCGGTTCTGCGTGACCATCCAGTCCAATGATATCACCCACATCATCAGCTTGGCGACCAGCGGGTGGCTGATATGGTGGGTTATGACCTGGAAATCCGACCGGGATGATATCATCATCCATTCCTTCTTCGACCACATTCTGTGAGTACATCGCGTAGGGGTGCTGTGGACCAGTTGATTCTTCGAGTGGGCGTTCGACTGGGCGTATCGTCGAAGTACTACCTACACTGGGTGTCCGGCTAACCCCAACTTGTGGATACATGCCATATGGATGGCTGGGTCCGGTGGCTCCGGTGTAGGGGCTGAGAGCGCGGGGAATCGAGAAACGAGACGAAACACTTTGATTTCGCTGGATCATAGACGGTGTCGAGTTGAGAGAGGAGGTTGAGTTACGGTTGTTGGCGAAAGGGTAGCCCTTTTGGGGCAGACTTGAGCGATGGGGTTCATCGAAGGAGACCCGAGCGTCATCAGCAAAAGGGTTTTCGTTCTCGGTTGTGGCCGTGCTGACAGTCCTTGACTGGTTGTGTTCACGAAGAGTAGCGGAGGATGCAATGGATGAGGGACTGTGGGGGCGTTGGATGCGATCGGAGTCAATGGGTTCTAACGAGTATTCGTCGGCGAAGACATTTGGATTGGAGACGGAGGTGCGACCGAAGGAGTGACGAGGCGTCGAATCTCTAGAGTGTGGCGTTGAAGAGGATCGTGAATCAGAGCGAGAATGCTCCGATGAAATATGACCAGACATTTCCTATCGGTCTGGCAGCCCTGTCGGGCCACCTCGTTGTTTGATCAATCCGTTTCGCTACCGGGCGATGGGCGAGGAATGGGAGAGCAAGCAACAGCAGACTCTTCAACGACAATAAGTAAGAAGAGGGAGATTATAGATGAGTGAGATGTATAAGGTGAGAAAACTAAGTTGAGAAGGGAAGGGAGGAGTTTGCCTGAGAGGGTTTACTGAGGGGAGAGCCGGAGGCCACTCGGACCAACCGAAATTCTTGGCTTTTTCGATTTGACGATTTACAGCCCTTTTTTCGAAGTTGTATCTTTCTTTCTTTTTTCCTTTCTTTCTTTTCATTCTGTATCGTATCATGCGTGTATGATCTACTACCTGAGACTCCTCTGTCTACGCTACTACGACTAGGGCGACCAACTACCGAGCCTATCCCGTCTGCGGTGGGCCTGAATGGGCTTCGCCACCATTTCATGCTTCATGCTATCTTGTGCTATTTTGGTATTCTCTGTTCAGACCGAATACAGGCTCCAGGTGCTAGTTCTAGACCAATGTTCCAACGTTATTTATCCTACAGTCGAATTTGAACAGTTTTCTCGCCACGCACTGTGAGAATCTCAAACCCGTTGTATCTTTAATTCTGGAATCCACGTTGAACTGGAAAAATGGATACTACCACAGAACCAATGTTCAGGGTCCCCGACGGAAAATGCAACGTGAATCCTGGACTCAGGCATCAGGAGCGGATATCTCGGACCCAATGTCTTGCGGACTAATCGTTTTCCGAAAAATACATTCACCTATCATGACTTTGTGAGCTGGACATCTCAGATATTTCCGCCGAAGCAAAAGTCTATTCGAATATACGATGCATCCAGGTACAAAATTGATCCGTATCTTGATTCTCGGAGATTATTAGCCATCGTATCCATGGAAGACCTCCCTACTTCTACCCAGAAGGGATACGATATTCGGTCTCAACACAGACGTTCGCCCGAGGAACGGTTTCAGCCGTCTAGGGCTTCGTCCAGCCCCTCTTGCACGGGGTTGCGTGCGTAACGGGATCCATTCAGGGCCAACCCTGTCTGACTCCATCCGACTCCATCTGATATTAAAGCGGGTTTGATTTCCGCTTCGTCTCTATATATCAGTATTTCAGGAGGATTTGAGATAGTTCCCTGGGCTGATTCTAGACCCGGTTCATCGATTAGATCTACAATATTGTACTCTGTAGAATGTCAATATCTTATGCAGGTCGCATGCAACGTAGGAAATTATCAATTACCGCTCAACAACTCCTATGATTTAGCAAATATCATAAAACCTGCTCCATAAATGTAGATTTGATACGTACTACTCAGCATCGGGAACGATTATTCGTGGCCAACATGATACCTAGTATACAAGCTCTTACGTCTAAACCAACTATTGTTCTCCATGAAGAATTGCTAACATACAGCCAGGAGGCAAGACCTAAATCAGCTAGTCTTTAAAGAAAATATATCTGATACAATGGCTTCAATCGGATAGGAATACATATGTGATGTACGGCTAGTAGATCTAGGGTTTCAGCCTCATCAGGTCAATATGCATTAGCTAATAAACCTTCAATATTGCCAAACGAATATTATACGCTCTTCTTGGCACCCAGGGCGGCTCATCAACATGATAAAGTGCATCGCGGAGCTCATCGCTGGATCCTGTGAGACATTCAAGCTGGTCCACCAAGCGCCCCAGTTTGTGGAGCAAGGGCGATGATCCGATGTAGATCCAACTTTATCGCGCAGCACATAACGAATATATAAAAGGTCCTCACCTTCACACAGGGATCCCAGAAAGAACACGAAATAAAATTTGCTTGCTTGATTTCCCTCTAGGGACCCAGTGCAGAACCCTGAGGGCCATCGGGTGATCTTATATGAAACTAATAATAGACCTTACACTATAATGTATGAGCTATAACTGGTTGGCCATTACTTAAGACTTTGGGTGAAATCGCGCGTGGCATCGTCTCAACAATATACATTGCTTGGTTATCACCCCAGACTCTCCCTTGTTACTGAACAATGAAGTTTCAGAGAGTCGCCATCGCTAGAACCATATCATGCAAACTCGCTGTCTCACATTCTACACCGTCAGTGGTCAAACGTTGAAAGTTGCTGTTACATCGTCGTGGTAGAACTAAATCAGCGCCTTTGTTATTGGCTCAAATTGTTTAAGACACGATAGATTGCAAACCCGCACATGTCTAATAAGGAGCTGTCTCTATATCGCTCCTACTACATATACTTTTCCATTTCTCCATGGCCGTCTCTTTTTCGTGCATGTAAGGTGTTCTAGTTGCTTACAGCACTTAGTTTACAACCATGATTTTTCAAGTTAATGATCCACAATAAAGAGTCAAAACATTGTAATCCATTGTAATCCAAATGTCATAATCATCGTAGCTTTAAGATATTCCACAAAACCAATCGTGCATCCCAACTTTGTCGCAGAAGAAAAAAAAGTAGAAAGATCCGCGTATGAGAGTAATTCAAAGTTCTCCACGTACACTCTCCGTGTGCTCGGAGACCTTGTTTTGAACTTTTTCGGCAGCTTCAGTGCCTTGAGCGCGCCCGCTAGCAGCGCCAATCTTCAACTGCTCCATAACCCAGTTCAAAGTATCCATAAACCGGGTGTAGATGGTCTGTTGCGGGTTTGTGGTGCCGTACTTGAAGTACTGGGCGTTGCGCCGGGCCGCAGCTCGAAGCTCATTGATGTTCGAGCCCTGGTAGGTAGGAACGCCATAGTTGTCCAGGTATCTCTTGAGCTCGGATTGCGACCATTGGTCGAAAGTAGAGTCTTTGACTGTGCCGGTCGCCTGCGTGAGGGCAGTTGTCGCAGAGGCAAACTGTTCGCCACCGGCCTTGGAAGCTTTGGCGTAGGAGTCCTGGGCTTGCTTGATAAGCTCTTCGCGGGAGGCATCGACCTGCTCGGCCGCCTTGTGATTCACGGAAGAGAGGTATTTCCTAGGAAATGTCAGCCGGTGAGATCATGATCAACGGACGGCGATGTACTTACACCAGGTGCTCTTTATCCCAAGTATCGAAGTTGTACTGGTTCCATCCACCGGCGGCTTTGTGGGCGTTGGCGCGAACCTTAGCGGTAAGCTCATCACGCTTGCTGTTCTGAGGGATGGGGATGCCTCGGGCATCAAGGAACGCCTTCAGGCGGGAGTTAGACCAGCCATTCAACGCAGTCTCGAAAGCATCCTCAATCTTCAGCTTGGCATAATCGGTAGCGCGTGCATATTCGTTCCCGGCCTTGGTGGTAGCAGCACCATACGCTTCCTCGACAACGGAGGAGGCGCTTGCCACTTGATCAGAAAGGTAGTGACGGTTCTTCCGGGCCAGAGCAACGAGCTCATTGCGCCTCGAGCCCTGAGGTACCTTGACATTGTGCTCGTCGAGGAATTCCTTCAGCTTGGAGTCGGACCAGGCGTCGAAAAGCTGATCACTCAGGGTCTCCTTGGCAGCTTCAGCCTCAGCGGATGCAGATGCAGCAACGCTCTGGGACTGCAAGCTGATGATGCGTGAGTTGCGGCGAACAGAAGCAATGAGCTTGTCACGGTTAGTCGGCTGGGGCACCGGCCATCCACGTTGGTCGAGCCATTCCTTGAGATCCGAGTCGGACCACTCCTCATACAGCCAGTCTCCAGGGTAGGAAGCCGTTTCGCCGATCTTGGTTGCGATCTTCTCATAATTCTCACGCGCAGTCTTGATGAGAAGGTCGCGTCTGCGGGGTTGGGGGGCGGGAATGCCGTGGCGATCAAGGAATGCCTTCAACTGAGAGTCGGACCAACTATACCGGTCAGATTTCATTCACGACAGGGAGAGGTGAGCACCTTACCTATCAAAGACCCATTCTCTGGCGTGATGGAGCTCATGATTGAAGTTCTCGGCAGCTTCTCCAAGGGGCTTTTGCACTTTGTTATCCCAGTTGGTCTTGACCAAGTTCTCCAGGTCTCGACGATCGGCAGGACTGGGATGGGGGATATCTGTATGAAGTTGAGTATACGAAGCTGCTAGAAAAGACCAGTGCTACATACTGTGGTCCGAGAGCCACCGCTCAAGCTCGGTTTCATGCCATTTATTGTAGACTATTGACAATGTTAGCTTTCGAAACGAAATCTTTGTACCCAAGACAACATACTAGCTTTGCTCCACCAACTGGAAGCTGCGACTGCTTCAGTGGAAGCGAGCAAGCAGATGAGGCCAGTGGCCAAATTCAACTTCATCGTGTGTTGTGTTTGACGAAATGATAATACGGTCAAGAACTAGGAATATACTTGGAGAGAATGGGAATGGAAGATTTTAAAGAGAGCTGCAAAAGCAAGTAAGGGCCATGATTGCGCAGTGACGTAGTTGGGGAATTTGCCTTGGATGGAGTGCATGAATCATCCATTCTGTGGACCTCACCTACTAGGTCTGGATTGGTTGTCATTCTTTGTTATTAAACTAGCATATGGATAGGTCTAAATTCCAGGTTTTATTCAAAATACTCTCTCTTGCTCTACTTGTGTGAGTAGTTTCTACGAATTACTCGATACGGCTTAGCGTGCCTATTTAAATGTGTCGCAGTGACGCCGCTACATGTGTTTTGTAATTTATGTTATGTAGCCCAATTCGAAAAGCCTGAGATTTGAAATGAGTGAGAATGAGTCCTCTATTTCCAGAATACCGACGAGATTACCCTTGGGGTGGGTGTGCTCGAATGTCAGCCCGATGAGCGGGTTGCGACGGCCTGGAATATTGACGATGACTCGAAGGTTGACTTTTGCGTACCAATATAACGCTTCTGTGGCTCTGAAGAGCTGGCCGAACCACAGTCCTAGGGCTCTTCATTGTGTTACTACTATGGACAGTGAAACTCTGAATCACTGCAGGGCCTAAAATCACGCTGAGTGACCTCATTTAGAATGCCTTATTTCGAGACAAATTTTCCCCTGGTACTTTACTTTAAAATTCCTCCAGTTTACCTTCCTTTCTCTCTTCCAAACCTTCCCGATCCAACACACACCGGCAATATGGTGGAAACCTCTCGTACCCTACCGCTACCGCGGATCGGCACCCCGGCGATCCAATCTAGTCGTCGTCCAAGCTGAGGGCATCCGCGATAGATAGAAAAAGATTGCCCGGACCAATCCTATGACATTGAGACCCTCCGCACACTTAGCGATCGAGGCCAATTGACGGCGCGTTGTGACTTTGACGGCAAGAGTCTTTGGACAGCCGAGTTAGAAGAAAAGCTGGTATCTGGTGAATTAGATGTCATCGTGCATTGCCTGAAAGGTGAATAGACCGGATTATTCTTTCTCGCGCCGAATCTAGGCTGACCAAACCAGATATGCCAACCACGCTTGACACCTGTGAGCTCGCGGCAATTCCGCACGGGACGATCCCCGGGACGCACTGATCGTAAAGTCTGGCCTGCCCTATACGAGCTTAAAGGACTTCCCTGAAGAAAGCGCAATTATAGGCACTTCCTCGGCTCGGCGTTCGGCCCAACTTCGCCGTCCCTACCCCCATCTTCGCTTTAATCTCCGCGAATGTGGGGACTCGTCTGGCCAAAGTCGATAACCCAGACAGCGGGTATACGTGCATGATCATGTCTGTCGCAGGTCTTGAGCGTGTGGGCCTCAAGTATCGTATCAACCAGTAACCAGTACCTGCAATCCAAGGATGGGGGTATTTTCCATGTCGTCGGGTAGGGTGCCCCGAGCTTTGAGATTCGCAAGGGAGATATGAAAATGCAAGAACTACTGGACCAGCTGACTGATCAAAAGTCGGCTCTCGCTTGCGTTCTGGGCGGTCGCTCATGAGAACTCTTGAAGGTGGTTGTGGTGTTCCCATTGGGGTTAAGACAGAGTGGATCCAATCTGATGACTTATAGATGACGGCCATTGTTGTCAGTCTGGGTGGCTCGGAGAGCGTTGAAGATTCGCTTGAGGCGAAGCCCAAACTATCGGTGTAGCAACCGCTCTCGGAAAGGAAATGGCGGCCAGACTGGTCAAGGCTGGACAGGCAATTCTCAAGGACATTAACACCAATCGTCCATCCAAGAATTGGTTGAGTCTAGAGTTCAGATATCTTCAGTTAGATTGTCATATTAGAAGCAAAGATGGAAGAACTGGCCCTTCTATTTCTTATCCCTGATATGATCGCCATGTTCATGTTTTTGTCGATGTACATCGTCAGTATAGTTCCAATCTTGGAAGTTTGACACTAATCCTAAATAGGGATAACTAACTAGCAGAACCACTAGTTAACACCATGTATTCAAGGCATTAAGGCACCTAGGCGTCAAGGCAGAGAGGGATGCCCAACGACATACTCAAGTCTACCTATAATCTCGGTAATTCCTTTTCTTTGTTTTCGAAAATAACAAATTTCCTCTCATCTTTGTGAAGTAAAGAGCGAAATCTCCGATGTGACGTACTGTGTAATCAGCTGTTGTCACGAGCTCCCGACCCCGACCTCCTCATCTGAGCTTCATACATTGTAAAGACACAACAATGGATCCATTAACACCCTACTGCCGCGAGTTGGCATCGCCAGGCATCTTCCAAACCGTGCTATCTGTGTACTCACCCCCAGAATCAGAACCGACAGTCCCTTGTCACTAACATACCATAGCCTGATTATCCTCGGCATTCTCCTCTCATACCTCCCCCAACACATCCGCATCATCTCCCGACGAAGCTCCTTCGGCATCTCCCCATATTTCATCCTTCTAGGCGTAACATCAGGGACATCAGCCTTTGCCAATATACTGGTATTCCCATCCACCGCGCAAGATGTCGCCTGCTGCCAGGAGATCAGCGGGATCGCCTGCTTCGCAGGGCTACTGGGGGTATTCCAGGTGGCAATGCAATGGCTCTGTTTTTTTTCCATGTGAGTGGAACGATTCCCTTGGTTATTTCTGATCCTCGGTCCGACCGAACAACACCGAGCTTGTCTGACCGTATCTAGTCTTTTGCTATTCGTGATCTACTTCCCGCGCGCCACATCCCCCACGGACCCAGTGAGCATTGTCTCTTCCACCTCCGGGGGACCGACATACCGCACCGCGCTCGCCATAACGGGAATATGTCTACTGCACGCGCTCGTCACGATCATCATTTCCCTAACGTTCAAGCTGCGCCAGCCGGCTGCTGTCCAGGCGTGGGCGAACTTCCTCGGTGTCCTAGCTGCGGTGCTTGCATCGATCCAGTACTTCCCGCAAATCTACACTACCTTCCGGCTGCGCTGTGTGGGGAGCTTGAGTATTCCGATGATGTGCATCCAGACGCCGGGTAGTCTTGTTTGGGCTGGCAGTCTGGCTGCCCGCAAGGGTTGGAGCGGCTGGAGTATTTGGGGCGTGCTAGTTGTCACGGCCTGCTTGCAGGGTACCTTGTTGACGATGGCAATCTATTTTGAGTACTTTGGGTCCCACAACAAGCGGGAAGTTGGGCAGCTGGCTGGTGAAAACGAGGCACCCAATGGATCGGGTCCTGCTGGTGAGAGCGCCCAGCAAGAATCTGTGCACGAGGAGCGACCATCTGAGGAGACGCCGCTGCTTCAGAGCCAGTAATGTGCGCATGGCAGATGTGCTGTCTGCTTGCTTTTATATAGTGCTTATCTCGTAGCTTGGTAGAAACGAAATCCCATACAGGTCTAGAATGATCGGTGATCCAAAAAAAAATAAATTCTTAATAAATGCTGACATGGGCATATCGCAAGTCGAGGGGTGTCACTTGCGACAAACCGACAGATCTTTCACCCGGTCGCCTCCAAGGCATATCCTCTTCACAAGAAAACACATCTCCCTGTCATCGCGTCGTGGTATTTGGTTTGAGGCCCGTAATTTACTGGGCGCTGTAGATCAGGCGGAAGACGTCGTTGAGCACGAAGTAGCTGCCAGCACCATCGGGCTGCAGCTTGAAGCACTGGGTGTAGTTCATGGGCTTCTGCTCCTCGTCGACCTATTAAAAGAGCAAATGACATTAGCTAAGAGGACAGGAGAAATCATGGGCATCCAACATACCAGGAGGGCACCGGTAACGAGAACAACAATGCCGTCTCCGCTGGAGGGCTGAGCGTCGAAGGTGGCAATCTGGTGCTGAACCTTCTGGAAGGGCAGAGCCTATTTGAGTCGCAAAATCAGTATTGGAATATTCTTCTCATATTGACTCTCGTGGGTGAGGATTTGGGGGTTGACGAACACTGAGCTTCTCAGTGATGGCAGCGACACCCTGGACCGAGCTGGTCTCGAAGGTAAGCATAGACTGGTCACGCTATTGGTTGATAATTGTTGTCAGTCCTAATTCACATATCTCGCTTGTAACAATATCTCGAGAGCGGGGCTTACGTAGAGACCGGCCAGGCCAGCGCGGTTTCCGTCGAAGGTCTGGTAGTAGAACTGCACGAACTGCTCTGTAAAGGGTTGATCACAAGTTAGGACATGATACTTTGTGTATGATATGATAGCCATCTATTCAAGATCATCGGGAACAAGCGCATTGCGGGATCCGTGTATATGAACGAGGAAAGTACGGGTATAACATACGAGCGATAGCGTTGAAGTCTGTATAAATCGCCAAGTTTGTTAGCTAATTTCTCATCTTTGTGTTTGCATTGTTTCTTTCATCAGTCCCCATCGCATTGCGCAACATAGTCACACACTGCTGTCTGGGATCCAAACGATCAGACCCCTTTCAGGGGAGACATAGATGAGCCAAGTGTGAGAGAGAAAGACATACCAGCCATTTTGAAGAAGTTGGAGGGTTTAGAAGAAAGGAAGAAAAGGTGCGATTGTATTTGAAGGGTGCAGGAAGTTGAGCGCGAAAGGAGAAAGGTATTTGTTGATGAGGGGTTGTGGGGCAGGAAATGTTCTGCCGATGATGCCTGGCTGCCTTATGTATCGATCGTCTAAGAGCCTCCGTCTTGAGTACTGCTATCTCTATTTATACTATGGAGTAGAGGACGTTTTAAATAATCATTCATTGTATTCATTACATGTATCTTTCAGTTATCGTCCGATGCTATCCATAATCTGTACAATTACAATCATGCCCAACCTTACTCCGAATCCGACGCGAACATGTCTTCAGCTTTGGGCCGTGGCTTTCGGCGCCGTGTTTCTGGCTCCTGCTGCCCAGCTGATTGTTCGGATTTGTCAGATTGAGTTGGGTGCTGAAGTGGTTGCTGAGGTGGCTGCTGGGTGTTCTCGGTTTGGGTATCTTCATCGCCCGATGCCTTGAGCATGAACACCCCATCAACGTTCTTCAGGTCACAGATATCCATTGCAGTACCATCCTTTTCATTCATTGATTCGCCCACTGCGTGGACGAAGGTAGTAGATAGCTTGTTGTCATTCGCAGGGCGAGTAGGATCAAACTTTCCACCCCGCTCATCATCAACTGTCTTCCATCGACTCTTGCTTTTGGCAAACGCAACAGCAGCTTGCTCTGCATGGGCCTTCTCCGTCTCCTTCTGGGTCTGTAATTCAGCTTCTGTAAGCGGTGGCTTTTCAAACACTTGGGTGAAGTGCTCCTGGTTCAATTGCGTAAAACAACACCACCCTTCCCACTGGCTTAAAAGAGCGCCAACGCTGCGCTTCCACTTCTCTGCTTTCAGTCGTCCCCATTTGAGGTCCTTGTCAAGTCGGCCAAGGTGTTCAAACACCTTACGGGAGCGGAGAGCGGTTTCAAACAACTGTCGATATCGCCATGCATGGCGCACGCCACAATTGGCCGAATTCCAAAGAATATCATTTATTATGTTAAGAGCAACCAGCTTCGCGGAGGACATGTCCAATACATCTTCAGATGAGGTGGCGCTGTCTTTGTCTGTGGTCGCTATTCTGGCAGCATTCCTTTCCTGGTCACGGTTTGGGTTGGCCCCCGTGTAGGCTAGAGGGCAAAAGACGTTTCGAATAACCATGTCGACAACCTCAGACGCCCCCAACGCCACGTGATCCATGGCAAATGCTGTAACTCGCGCAACATCTCCTCGTCGAAGCTTTGCATTGGTTGTCGGAAGTCGTGCCAGAAGATGAGTAAGCTTGGCCATCTTCAGGGGGTTCAAGGAGGTAGGTTCATCGCTGTGTGTGTGGGTTCCGTCTGGAGCTGCTCCACCAAAATTCCGTCTTTCATCTTCTCCATCCGAGTGTTCTTCGTCAGATGAGTTGTAGTCTGGGTGTGAGACAAATTGGTCCAAGCGAGTAACGTTCTCAAATTTGAGGCGTTGTTTCGGGGGTAACCAGAGCGGACCGCCTTCAAAGATGATCGCCGGCTTATTGATGCTCTTTTTTTTGGGATCGGTGATAATTTGCCACAACTTCCACCGGTAGTATACACCACCAGGCGATCTTGGATCGAACAACCAGGCCCACTTTTCGTCCATCTGGACTTCTGGCCGACTCATCAACAATGCCTCAAATCCAGGACCTCTTTTCACGAGTTTCTCAATAGTCATGTGTATCTGTCTTAACACTCTTATGTCTGTCGGTAGCTGCACCTGTAACTGATGGGTTGGGCCATTTCTACCAACGCTTGATCCATACGAGCTTGGGGGTGCGAATCCCCCGCGATGTGACCCTGGTGGTGGAGCACGATTCAAGCTTGTGCCGGAACTCGGTGGAATAGGCGTTGCGCCAAACGGAAGAGAGGTAGTAGTCGATGGGAGGCTAATGGGCAAAGGCACGTTTGGATTGATCGCAGTAGAGGAAAGATGTCGACAGAGGGTCAGGTAGTACCCCCAGCCAAGGTACTTGTTCTGCAGGGTGCTCACAGCTGAGTCGATATTAGAGGCAGCTGAGTCGCTTGCGAGGGTGACGAGAGCAGAAGAGGACTCCCGGTGGGTTGGCAATTGTCCGGGTGGCGGGATAATCTTAATATTGTCCACACTCAGGGTCGAGGGGATCAATGCCTTGACCACTGACAGAGATGTCCCGGGAGGAAGTGATGCGAGATACAACGTGGGTTTGGGAGCTGCCCTCTCCTCTTCATCAAGTGCCCTGTCGGCTTCAGGTGAAGTAAGCATGTTTTCAAACTTGTGGTCGCGACGGGAGGGGGGGGAAGTTTTCGTGGGAACGTTTTTGTGAAAGTGAGGGCGGCGGGGGGACTAAGGGTCCATGGCCACTACCTCGTGAAGAGGAAGCTGCGAAATGACGCTTGGGAGGACCACCCCTGCGACTAGATGTGTTCCATCCTCCATCCAATGACTGCGGTACAACTGGATCCTCGTCTTCGAATGATTTGACAAACTCTTCGTAGACTGCAGCTGTCTCTGCTTTTTCCCGGGCGCGTTTGGCCTCCGCTTCGGCTTTTTGACGCTCAAAAAGTGATTTCTTTGGAAGCGCGGAGAGTTTCGCCGAGACGTCGGGGAAGCTCTTCCCCTTCGACTCGTCCGGCATGATTAAATCAGCTGTAACTGCTGCAGCAGTTGCCAGACTTAAACGCAAGCAGGATAAAGGAAACCGATGAAAGCCCAAAGAGGTAGCAGTTCTGGATGAGTTGAGAGAGTAAACTAAACCTCTTGATCACTACACGGCTTAATTCCCATTATGTAGGCGGTCGGGCTTTATCCAATCAGCGGATGTTTAATTCTAGCACGTGGATGGCAGTATTCTAGCTCCTAGAAGTAGCAGGCGGTGAGACGATACCCACCGTTGATGGTTGGTATCCCGATAGAAGGTTTGCATTTTGGCCGGTTTACATAGAGTGAAGGGTAGGAAGAGAACGAAGAACCGGTGTGTTTATTCTAGGAAAAGCAGGGTATATATACTCGGGTGTCTGACAAATTGCTCAGTCTGCAAGCAACATTCTGCAAGCAACATTGAAACAATGAGAGATGCCATTATTCAATGTCAAACATCAGATATGGTGCCTCCAAGCCCCATACCAAGATCCTTGGCTCTTTGTTACGGTCTAGCGGCGAAACAAATTTTCTCACATCCAACAATAATATCACGAGGTTGCTTCATATCCTTAGAAAGACTTGGATACTTCCTTAAAGATAGGTTAATACTTATATGGTGGCTCGTTTTAATGCCGGCTGCTGAGAAAAGAGTATCTTTCTGGGCGTCTTTTTATATGTCTAACAATATCATGATAGGCAGACTGTACCAGATGAAAGTGTATACTTGGTAGTCATGTGACTTCATGATCTGCCGGGATCCACTTGACACTCCCGTCCTTTCTCCCATCCAATCAAATCCCAAGATCTGTACATCACCTACGTCATAAAGAGAACAGCACCTGAAATTGCTGTACCCGATCTACTCATACCCATAGTATCAGCATTGGTGGTCCGTGGGATGCAAAACTAATTAATATAGAAATTTGATGAATAGGTCCCACAAGACAAGGTAAAGAAGCAGCAGGGACCTTGAACCGACTTATTGAGTGCCCACTGGCGGCCAAGATGCACTTGCCAACAATATTTTGTCTCAGCTACTTGACAATGTATGCATTTACCAAATATATATCCATGTGAAGACCTGCTTGGTTCTGCCTTGTATGTTCAAAACTTAACGTCCATTCTTTGGTTAATATGATTGCCATACTAACAACTTTACAGTAAAGACCCAAATGTCCGAAGCTCTCGCCTCGGCAGACTCAAAGCGAGAAGACCAGCCAGAGAAAAGGCTTATCGAGACCCAATATCGGGGTAAAACTTTCCCCTTTGAGATGAAGAAATGAGACAATTGGCACTACGTTGTGACTAGGACTGTATGAGGGGCAATCTCACTGTGACAACACCTTCGAGGGTCTAGGGAATGGATTGGAAGCCACTCATACTGTTCCCATTTCTTTCGGGGCATTCGATCCCGACAGTGAAGTATGATGGTCCTTCTATTTATGATATATCGGGGCTTTAGCTAATACCAAAAAGAGCACTGTTTCAGCTGCAGCCGAAGGTGGAATATCCTTGCGACACTTTTCGTCATATCGGACCCTCTAGAGTCGACGAGCCGGAAAATGGCCATTATGTATTACTTTTGGGGGGGGCATACATGGTATTGCAAATAAACCCGAGATTCGGTTGCCTTGATTTTCATTTGATGCCGAAAAATAAATCATATAACCCTCGTGTTTTCCAAGATCACGCTTGTTCTTGTAAACGCTAGATATCAGTTATTATCATTGTCGGACACACCCCCGAGATATGTATCCACCCATTCCTTTGCGCGATTATGATTTAGGAGCTTCGGGATCGCCCTCAGCCACCAACTTTCCAACAACCAGGTACTTCTCCAAGAATCGGTCTTCCCACGACTGTAGGTTCTCCAGCTGCTCGGCGTCCAAGTCCTTCAGATCATCCAAGGGCGCCGAGAGGTCCTTGGTCAGCATCTCCTCATCAAAGCTCTGGCAAGCCAAGCCGCGTGAGGCGTCCCGGCCAGCGAAGTTCTCGTAAGGTCCACCCTGTACCAATTGTATTGTCAGCTTCAGCTGCAGCGGCGCTGCCTGGGTGGCCACAAATTCCAAACACATACCGGCCCATAGAAATTCCTGCCAGGAGAGACATCAAAGACGCGTCCGCGGACGGAGAGGTAAACGGGGCGGCCTTCCTCGCCGTTGAACTCAATGAGAGTTTTGGGAATGTAAGTCTTGAAGACGGTTGGTGGTGGTCCACGGGGGAGAACGATTGGCGCCTTGGGGCGGAAGTGCCAGTACACCAAGACTCCGAAGAGGGAGACTAGGATCAGGTTGATTGGTGAGGCGATAGACATCCTGTTAGGCAGCGAGCGGTTAGTTAGGTTGTCTCATTTTCCGTGGCGCATCGAGAGATCTGAGGGACACAAACACTTCAGCCTGTGGCACGGAATTATCTACAGTTTCCAGATTAGCGACAGGTGTTCAGACTAATAACGGAAGACACATACCCATTGTGGTAAATATTGGATTTGGAGACAGATAGAACGGTTAGAAGTCCGGAAGCTCGGGATGACATCGACATCCCCGCTCCACGTGATTGGACCTTATATTGACATTCTCTTTCATTTGGATTTGCATCCACAGGTTATATTTAGGAAATATCTACATTCTCATGCGAATTGATTGGCCAGGTGCCCGGACTTCAGATTTAAAACGTAAAACGCCCGAGAGTCCTGAAATGTTTCAAAAGCTCTCTCCACAGGACTATCGCCCCCATTTTAATCTGCCCACTTCCTTTAGCGGATGCCATGTCATTTCATGTTATTTCCAAGATTGACTTCTAGTTTCTTTGCTTTCTCTGCTGAGGTGTTCAATTCAGATTTGTCTATATAATTGTCGCGCTCGTCTGCCTCATATTCCATAGGCTTCCGTGTTAGGCTGTGCATCGTGGCCTAGAAGATAGAGCCCCTTCCATTTTTTTGCGATCCTTTACCACTTTTCATTCCCTTTCATTGTTTCTCTTGTGATTTAAACTTATCTATCACTTTGTGTGAGCTCTGCCTTTTGCTTTCCGATCAAAACCAGCCCGATATCACGTTTAGAGCGTGAGAAAATCGATATGTGGTCTAAACGGCCGTTCCACAAGCCCAAGCGGCCTTCGATCAGCGGCCCCATATTGAACAACAATCTACCTACCACATCAGACCCTGTGCATGATTTGGTCGCAAAAAAGTTGCCCCCTCTGCCTGAGTAAGTTTTGTGTTTTTTACCTCTTAAATTTCACAAATCTAATGGAAACTAGCGATTTGCATTCGTCGCTACAACAGGATTCCGTCCCGCGTGATGATATCAATAGAAGACACTCAGATGTCTCGCCTGCTGTTTCGCCGATTCTTGAAGCTCATAGGCGGGAAAGCCAAAGTAGTTTCTGTGTCTCGCCCATCGGCGACGGAGACCAATTCCCTCGTTATACGCGACAGGAGACTCGGGCATCATCATCGCCAACTCATATTCCCAAGGCAGACGATGTTGACACACCTTCTCATTCCCGAGTTCAGCCTGTTCAACCAATCCAGCCTGTTCAGCCAGTCCAGAATTATCAGGAACCTACGCGATTCATCTCTGGAAAATCGACGCACTTGGATAACTTTTCTGGCGAACCGACCTCGAATGATGCGGGTAGAGTTAGCCAGATGTATCCCCGCAACACCTCCTTCAATAAATCCCCTGGAGCTCATGCGTCCAACCTGCTAAACTGGGGCCAGGGTTTCAATCCCAAGAAGACCCTCAATGCAGCTCGAAACCGGATCAGCAGTTTCTCGAAGAATGAAGATCTTTCGCAAAAGGAACCGAGAAGTAGATCCTCGCCACGAGTGTTCCCAGTGGACGAGCATTCCAGCAAACGCTATGGCAACGGTGGGCTAAACGCGAGTTCCCCGCTAGATAACTTTGGCTTCGCTCCTACAACTGTAACCACTATCACCGCCGGTGGTCCAGTATATTTTCCCCGGAGACCGGCAACAGAGAGCGCTCCAATTCGCCTACACGAGGAGACCAAACCGATATTCAAGTTCGACGATGATCTCAGCAACATGATGCTCACGAGCAATGAGCCCAGAAGCCGTTTCAGCGCAACTACATACACAGCCACCGAACCCGGTAGTCAGGATGCAAGCCCACGGGGGAGTATGCAGCTTCAAAGCCGGTCTACAGACGACGTATCCACATCCTCTATCATGTCCCGACGCCGCCCAATCCCAATGAACGACCCCATTTCGAAGAAACAGCCTGCCTCAACCAAACCCATCCGAAAGCCCATTCCATCCCAGGTCGCACAGCAGGTCGGTCAGGTGCCAGTGCAGTCGCCTTCGCCTCCACCTCTACCCGAGGTACCACTCGATGCGCAGGGCCGTGTTAAAGCGATGGAGACCAAGCGGGACGACCTTGAACAGCGCAGACTTAATTTGGAGGCCTTGATCGTTGACTTGAGCAAGGTCATTCAGCCTACCTCGGCTGCGTATGACCTGGCTGCTAAAGCCGAGGCCCAAAAGAGCATCAAGGCCATAGAAAACGAGATTGATGATATCAAGAAAGAATCGCACGATCTTGGTCTGAAGATTTCTCGAGCGTGGCGTCGACTGGACGAGCAGGAGAATTCTGGTGATGGCAATAATCTCTGGGTCAAGCGAGTCACGAGTTAGTGGCTGTTGAATTGTGATCTGATCTCTGCGCAGCTGACCATGATTTCATTTCTGATGATACTGTGGAGTTGTTAGCGTCCTGTTTTGATTCCTGTTTTGATTCCTACTTTTTTACCGGGGCAGTTTTCTTGTTCTTTTTCCGATATTGGGCCATGGTGGTTGTGTTTTGAGCGTTTGATTCCCCTGCATGGCAGGATGATACCCACTTTATTCGGAATTTGCCCAGGATGTGGCGGTTTATGTTGATGTATTTTGGTCCAGTTAATGTCATTATTGTTTAACAAAATCGATTTCTAGGAAACTCGTATGTGTGAAAATGCGATGAAGCGCGAAATAGGTATTGGTGGCTAAAGATATACAGAGGGCCCATAGTGAACTATGAGCGTAGTGATGCTAGCGCGATCACACATTCGAAGCCAGCCCACCCTCCGCTTTCTCATTGAACATGGCTCGTGTAGGTCGTGAATATGGATTCAAGAAAACCCGATGTCAAGGCTCGTGGTGGGGATTGTTGGCAAATGACCCGTCGAGGGGTATTCGATCCGTTTATTTCTTGCCGGACTTCTTGATGCCTTGCTGGCCGGTGTTGAGAGGACCCTTCTTGCCCTTGGCAGCGTCCTGCATGTCCTTGCGAGCCTTGGCGTCTAAAGAAAGTTATCAGTTAGTGACTCTTTGAAGAGGGTGATCAAGAAGTCATACCAGCCCTGAGCTTGGCCTGGTGAGCGATCTCATCCTCATCGAGCTCCTTCTTCTCCTTCTTAGCAGCCTTCAAGGGCTTGGCCTTGCCACCTGTAGATCATGAAATATTAGTGAACAGGATTCAAAAGATACTAGAAAGTGAAATAATACGAACCTTCTCTGCCGATACCACCCATTTTGTCTTAATAAAATAAACTGGGAGAGAGGGTTGAAAAAGAGTTATAATGGCGGGGTGTTTCAACGGCGTTGGCGATGAGAAAAAAAAGATACATTGAGGGGTGCTTAGCCACACCCTCTGTGGCCTACTGGGGCGCAGTCCGGGCTATTTTCGTAAAAATTACCATGTAGTATATTGGGTATTGTATCATTTCAAGCACAATACAAATGTATTAGCTACGGACATCTGACTAACTGCTATGTAAAATCAGAGGTAGGTATTTAGAATACTTAGGCGCTAGGCTATAAACAGCTAGTGGTGTCCTTCCAAAAAATAAAGTGATCGGATCCCAGCACAGACAAGGTAGCCCGCAAAATCCACCCCACCGCCTACTACAACCGTACTAGCGCGAGTTCTGCCCTATCTCGACCATCGATTCGCCATGGCTCAATTCATCTCTTGCTGTCATCGGTATCTTATGCACACGTGCTTTTATCTACCCTGTTTCTTCGGCAAGCTATGCGCCTGAGATTTTAATCACTTTTGCAAGGCTTTGGTGTGAAGGCAGGCCTCCTACAGCCGGTTGGACTTTCACAAACCCTTTGAGAAGACTTATTGTCGCTGGAGCTTTTGCTAACTGAGCTTTATTGCTGAAGCTTCTTCCAAAGGCCGAGTGAAGTGACCCAAGAGAAAAGAAAATATTGTCTACACGCCTTGTTTGGATCTGTCGAAACCCGCAGAGATGTCGCATCCCAGGTCGAGGTCCCCATCAGTCCCCTCTGAGGGTGAGATCGTCGAATCAGGCCCAGAGACGAAGGCAACTGCGTCAAAAATTCCTCTTAATGGCACCAGCGTTGACCGTCCCACCAGAGCTAGCCCATCCTCTGCGCCCAGATCTCCCGAGTCGTTGAAAGGCACTCGATCGCCGCCCCGGCAGAGGTCGCGGACCAGGTCCCTATCGAGATCCCGCTCTCGCTCCCCGTACAGAGAGAACAAGACCCTAAAGCGCAGTTACGACGATCCCGAGTCCTATGATGGTGGCTACGACCGGCGACCCCGCCAGGAGCCTTCGCGACGTTACAGGTCTAGGTATGACGAAAGACGCCGTGACAGACCCGCTCCCAACCGGCGCCCGAACTCATACTACGACTATGATCGCGAAGACGCTCATGGAGAAGCCCTACGATACAGTGATGATTATGACCGATATGACCGACACAAGGACAAGCGGCAACGCACCCGTAGCCGCAGCCGATCCCCTTACCGTGAATCGAGAAAACCCAAGCAGTATTCAGGCGATGAACTTGATTCAAACGTGGTTAATCCCAGGTCTTCAGCGGATACCGGAAGGCGCTTGCCCACTGAACAGTTGGTGAGGGAACGAGGAAAGGCTCCGGTCGTCTCTCAGGACTTGAAGCTTGGTACTGAAAAACAAAAGAACCAGGTGCAGGCTTCTTCTAATCTTCAAGCACATGTGGCTGACGAGTATGTTTATTCTATTATTGACGAGGAAGAACGTTTGACTAACATCCGTCCCAGGGAAACCACCCCTAACCCGGAGATTGCGCAAGAGCCAGAGCTCGCTGAGCCCATTAACGAAGCTGATGCACTTGAAGCTCGCCGGAAACGCCGTGAAGCCATTCGGGCGAAACACCGGAGCCAAGCGACGCCACTACATCTCAAAGCACTAAACGTCGGTGACGTTGAAACGGATTCATCCACGCCTGGCACTGAGCCAAGTAGCGCGAAGGAAGCATCTGGTGGGTTTCTCTCGGACGAGCTTGCCTTGATATCAGCGAAACTGACACCTGTGAACTCGATAGATTCTCCACGAGCATCTCCCTTTGAACAACCCGGGGAGGCATTCCCTGGTTTTAGTGTTGGAAAAGATATGGACGTGGTCAACGCCAATGCACCTCTTGTCGGTACTGATAAGGATGATCCCTCTGCTGCTGATTATGATCCAACTCTTGATATGAAGGAAGAAAGACAAAAGCATGCGAATGTACAGAATGCAAAGGACGACGTTTCCTCTGCTGCATACGATGAAACCAAGACTAGCAAGCAGGACATCCTCCTCCCTGATGCTCCCCCTGCGCCAGCGCCAAAGGCAGAGGTACTCGATATGTTTGCAGACGACGACGATGACATGTTCGCAGAGGAAGCGCCTGACGCCAAGCCGGCTCATGCTTCGGCCACGGCTGTACCCCAGGGCAAAGAACTGGACATCAGCATGATGGACAACTGGGACGATTCGGAAGGTTATTACGCTGTTCGACTCGGAGAGCTGATCAACGGACGATACCATGTCCACCAGAACCTTGGCAAGGGAATGTTCTCGTCTGTCGTCCGTGCTACTGACACCCAGACAGGTGGTCTGGTTGCCGTCAAGATAATTCGCCAGAACGCCATCATGCGCAAGGCCGGTATGAAGGAGATTGGCATCCTAGAGCAACTACAGGAAGCCGACCCGCAACATAAAATGCACACCATCAAGTTCGACCGATACTTCGATCACAAGGGTCACCTGTGCATGGTGTTTGAGAACCTCAGCATGGATCTGCGTGAGGTCCTGAAAAAGTTCGGTAGGGACGTTGGCTTGAACCTACGCGCAGTTCGGGCCTACGGCCAACAGATTTTCCTTGGGCTATGTCTCCTCCGCAAGTGTAACATCCTGCATGCAGATCTCAAACCGGATAATCTTCTTGTGAATGAGCAACGCAACATTCTGAAAATTTGTGACCTGGGTTCGGCGTCGCCGGTCTCTGACAATGAGATTACGCCATACCTCGTCAGTCGTTTCTACCGTGCCCCGGAAATCATCCTGGGTATCCCTTACGACTTCGCCATCGATGTCTGGTCCATTGGTTGTACCCTCTTTGAGCTGTACACAGGCAAAATCCTCTTCACCGGCCGAGACAACAACCAGATGCTTCGCTCCATCATGGAGTGCCGGGGCAAGTACCCGCCGAAGCTTCTTCGCCGCGGAACCCTGGCACCTCATCATTTTGATGAAATGCTCAACTTCCACAGCGTCGAACAAGATAAGATCACCGGCCGCCTCCACACCAAGATCGTGGACTTCAAGAAACCGACGCGCGATTTAAAGACTCGCCTCATGGCCCAAGGAACACGTGGGATGCCGGATTCCGAGGTCAAAGAGCTGACAATGTTCTTGGACCTACTCGACCGATGCTTGAGTCTTAACCCCGAGAAACGGATCACGCCGGCTGAGGCTTTGAAGCACCCGTTCCTGGCGCCTAGAGTGTAACTCAGTTTACCAGATGAAAGGACTTTTACTGCATGTGTTGCATCTTGACCTTTCTGAGTTTACCAGGCTGTCCAAACCCTGGTCCTGGAATGGCGTAGTTCGGCTGGAAGGATCGGTGTTACTGGAGAGTTGATCTATGGATTTTTGTCAATACGCAAACTACGACAGTAACTTAGTATCTAACTTTTCAAATACATGTATGTTGTAAACTCTACAGAAGACACCAATCCCCTCAGTTTTAGGCCTACCGCAACCGAGGGTGGCTTGGTATTTGTCCAACCCTTCATTAGAGCATAAGCATAGCCCTGTGTAGCCAACAAAGAACCTCCCCCACCCCCAGTCCGTGCATCATTCCACAACCCAGCTCCTACCAAAAACAAAAGCCCCCTCGGGATTACAATACCCAGCACATCGGTACTCCGTATAGCGCGCGATAATGCAATCCTGAATCCAATTCATCACTATCACAAAGAAACCCAAACACCCAGTTCCCGCCCCCTACGGCCTTAGCCCCCTATCAAACCCAAGCCGCTGGGAAGATGGATCTCTAATCACACTATTCCACTCTATCCTATAATGCATAATATACTATGGAGTATTGACCCCAATAATAAACAAACCTGGACCCAGTCCCAACAACCCAATTAAAAAAAACCCCCTTGGACCCCGAAGGACCTCCAAGAGTTCTAGATCGCCTCTAAGCCAAACTCAGTCTTAGTCCACTTTCGCATCCGTGGTTCAGTCCAGCAATAGCCGGAACCTTCTAGTACTGGAATTTCTCGTTTTTGGGGTTGTGGGGGCAGAGAGCCTTGGATGCGGGAAAGAGTCTTACACCCTCCCAAGGTTCATGGGACAAAATCGATAGATGCCAGAATATCTGATGCTTTTTCTGCATGTAAGTATGGAGTACATGACACTAGCCAGACTATTGCCTCGGGTCAGTTCTCCTAGGGGCGGCAGAGGCGGGAGTTCTTGAATTGCGCTGGTGTTTCCCGACTGTTGGCCATTGGGTAGAAGACGTGTCAAGGTAATTGTGAACAAATAGGAGACATGCTTTGGGGCTTGGATACGCTGATTGGAGCGGTTTTTTCTTTTTTTTTATGATCTGAGATTTGCTTTTGGCTTGGATGGATAGTTACTTGGAACTAGGAGATAACTAATCGTTTTCTGTGTTGGTTACGGTTCGAAAAAAAAAGCAATGGGATTGGGTATCTGTTCCGCGTTGAGTTGGTATGCTGCATGTGGTTTAGTTTACTTGCAGGACCACGTACTCGATATACGATATGAAGTATGCATTATTTTCGATCCTGTTTATGATGATATACACACAATTACGTTGTCGGACCGAGAGGAAGTGGAGTATTCCAGAAGACGTCGGCGATCAACGGAAGAAAGCGGTGCCCCTTGCCACCCTTGGGAAATCCACTAGGAGGCAACTGCCGTATGGTATACGAAATCCGAGGCATTGCCCCGTGGCAAAGGAATCCGCAAAAATAGGACGTTTAATCTCCGACCCCCTTTCGTCAGGGTTTGATCTATTGGTCTATTGATCGGGACTAGACATGGATATTGGCGCTATGTCAAGAAAGTAATCATGATGTCGAGATGTGTTTATATTGTGGGTCCCGCCACACCTGCAGGGCACCGTCTGCCTTGGTATCGGGCGATGAAGATGATATTGTAAGGGAAATGGCCTCATTGGGCACGGGATATGGATCGGTGAGCTGAAATATACTTGTGTTGGAGGTAGATTAGGTTGTTTTCAATAAGTTGGCCACCTTAATACATGTTGTACTCCGTACAATATACAATAGAACATGGTGCATCTTAGTCACCTCTGGCGGTGTAAACCCCGAAACTCTCGCGCCGGTGACCACACCTGAACACAACATCGGTTGCAGAAAGCAAAAAAGCAAAAAAGCAAAAAAAGCAACGGCCCGGTTTTCGAGGAAAACAAGAAACCCCTTGTTGATCTTTTGGACGAGCCAGCTGCATTGCCAATCCTGGGGTACATTAATCGTTATGCCCGGAGGCAGGCAAGGCACGGTACACAAAGGGGAACGGGCGTTCATCACATATAATACATATCACATCACACGAGTCCAAGATATTTTACCTTGTACGACGTACAGAGTACGGAGTACAGAGTTGTACATGGGACTAGTCGCTATTGTACAGCATCTCTGCATGGATAGGTTTCGGGTCCTGAGAACCGAAAACGGATGTGATGAATCGTTAACCACGATCGCTATCAGGTGATTGGACCATCTGCGGGTTTCCAGGTGTTGATCTAGGGAGCTTTGGGGTGGTAGATTATTGATTTTGTGCAGTGGCTTGTTCACCGTAATAGTGCCAACAGAAATGAGTGTCATGACTCTGCACTAGAGTAGAGTTGGCACACTTCACGCCTTTGGCTATACATGCTTCCGGGATTGGGGGTGGGAATATACTTCGAATCAGTCAGACTCAGGTCAGTACATGGCCCTTGCCTGTATATGACGCAAGTGGGACACAAACAAAGGGAAAAGTGAGATTAAAGGCCTCGAGCCAACTTGATGGCTACAGGGGTTGTTTCTTGCCCGGCTATCCGGATTACATCTTGAACTAAACTACATCCAACATACTACTATGCTGACGGGCGAAAAGGAGCCAGCCACCAACAGAAGGACGATCTAAAAGGAGAGACGGCAACAGGAAGCAAAGTGCAGGGCAACACCAATAATACGAGGTCTTTTCCATTGTAGATGTCCCAGATGGTCAAGGTACATTAGCGCCAGGAGAAGAAAGATGAAGTGTATGGGCCGTGCATAACTAGTCAGCAGGGAAGCGCCAACCCCCCCCCCCCCACCTCAGCTACTTTTAGGGGAGTTTCTCGAAAAACGAACAGTTCGAGCAAATGGTTGGCCATAGCGGCCCCCCATCATCGCCTCACTCTTGGACTTTCTCTAGCGTCCTGTCTAGACCCGAGTCAGCCTAGACGGAGGGGTCCGGGGGGGCCATGTGGGGTTCTTCATCAGTCTGTGCAAAGACGGTGTAGGTAGATGTTAACCTCTTACTCATGTTAATCAGTATCTATGGAAAACAAAGGACAGATATGCATTCAAACCCGATGAGAATATCAAAATACCATAGCTTTGCGGGGCTGGGGGGCCATGCGCTTGATTGGCGGGAATGTAGGTGGCGGGTGCGTTGGCAAATGTGTGTCAGGAGGTTTCAAGGCAGAAACACCGTTGAGGACAGGGGGGATACGTGGACAGAGCATTGCCACAATAGGCCTAGAAGGATAGATGTGAGAAGGAGAAAATAGCAGCTTCCAGACGATCGTTATGATACCCACGGTCCAATCATCGGTTGTGGCGGCTGCAGGAAAGACCGACCGAGTCATAATGATTGGTCTAACCACACTCTGGCATGCACACCGCTTCGTACACATGGCCTATTATTTTTTGGATTTTACTTTTTTTCTTCCTAGTGCCACTCTAGTTTGTACGCATCATAGATTTTTTGGGGTTAGTTTTCTTTTTTTTTTTCTTTTTTCCTTTTTCTTTTTTAGAATTCCATTCGATCCTTCCCCCTTTTGGGATTTTTAATATAATTTCCTTTTTACTAGCGCCCTTTCCACTTTGTTTTATTATTGTTTCTCTCGAACCACGAGGCGACCATCTGCCTGATATATTTCTATTATAATCTTTCCTTTCCTCTACTCTCACGACTCTTGTATATTTCCACAAAACATCCTCTTATATTTGACTGTTCTGTTCTGTTCTGTTCTGTTTTTATTTTTTTGTTTTGTTCTGGGTTCTTGTGCAACTCTCCTTCTCGACTATCAAACACAACCAGACCGGACCAAACGGACCTAGATCGGACCATCTTGAAACCTTTGGATTGGAATGGATGCCTTTTGAATATCCGTGGATTTAGGCCTCTTAATCTCCCGGGATCAGACTATCTTTGCGATCTCTCTCTCTCTCTTTCCTTATCTCATCCGAGAGAGGACCGTTGGATCCCCTCTTTACACACAACTTCCCCAAGGACAATGTACCCGGCCATGTTACCAACACCACCACCATCACCGGCTCCCCGCCGCTATGCTCCCGAGGATCGTCTAGGACTCGTATTAGCCAACCGGCTGGAACTCACCAAAGTCTTGGGCGTTGGAGCCTACGGCGTCGTTTACACCGCCGTGGACATTCACACCAACGAGGTCTATGCCGTCAAGGTTCTTTGCAAGAATGGTCTGGATGCCCGTCAACTCAAGTTCCAGCAACGGGAGATTAGACTTCATCACCTGGCCAGCCAACACCGCAACGTGGTTCCCTTAGTCCGCATCATGGATTCCGTGGATTGTACCTACGTCGTGATGGAGTATTGCCCAGAAGGAGACCTGTTCTCGAACATCACCGATAAGGGAAACTTTGTCGGTAATGACTTCTTGGCCAAGAATGTATTCCTCCAAATCCTGGACGCCGTACAATTCTGCCATTCTCTTGGAATCTATCACCGGGACCTCAAACCTGAGAATGTACTCGTGACCGAAAATGGAATGACCGTCAAACTTGCCGACTTTGGCCTGGCCACGACTGATTATTATACGACCGATTTTGGATGTGGTTCCACGTTCTATATGTCGCCTGGTAAGCCTTCCAACCTCAACTACCCTTCGGTCATGGCGTGAGCTAACATGACATGTCTATAGAATGTCAGCAATCCAACGCTCGGCCCTTGTCCTACTACATGTCCGCTGCCAACGACGTATGGAGTCTGGGCGTGATTCTAGTCAATCTAACATGCGGTCGCAATCCATGGAAACGCGCCTCGATCGAGGATTCCACATTCCAGGCCTACCTCAAGGACCCATTCTTCTTGAAGACTATTTTGCCTCTTTCTTCCGAGATGGTTAGTATCCTTAGCCGCGTCTTCGAGCTTGACCCAATCAAGCGGATCTCCATCCCGGAGTTGCGCCAACTCATTCTGGAGTGCCCCCGCTTCACGGAGAATCCCATGGTCCAAACCCCCTGGGTGCCGGAACAGATCGGCTACATTCCCCAGCCCCAGATGCCAATGTTCATGGCCCCCATGGAACCCCTATATGCCCAGACCTCTGGCTCGTCCTTGGACTCGGCGCAATACTCGGCCTTCTCCCAGTCTGCTGCTTCCGACGGTTCGGCCATTACCGAGGATTACTCGGATGTCGAGACCATGTCGCCTGCAATCTCGGAGCAGGTCCCCGACTGCAAGGCCATGTTCCCTTCAGTCTGCGCGGAGCCCTTCTTCCCCGCAGATCCCTTTGCTTATGGCCTCAATTACCACAACCTACACGGCCTCGAGATCCCCGTGTAATTGCTCCTTGCCTCGCAGCTGCATGACTTGACGCTCTTCCCTTTTAACATTTTTATTCCTTGATCGAATTCTTTCCGGGGGATCTCCCTTCACATATCTTGGGGTCCCTTGCTCTCTTCCCTCCGCTACCAAGCGGACTCTCTTCAAAAGCTGCCGAACAACAAAAACAAAGTTGATCGCGTTGATCATGATCCACTGGACTCGGCCACCAGCTTTCTTTTCCCTTCGGACATAATTCTTTACTCTTTTTTATCCCTCTGGACCATGGCACTTTCCCTGGCTTCACGACTATGAACTTTCGTGGACTGTTTGACCACAGTCCTCTTTTCTCCCTTGCGACCGGGGTCTCCTTATTGTTTTAATATTTCCACACATACCTGGAGGATTTTTCTGTTTTACGTTTCCATTTTCTGGCGTGATAATACACTGGGAAGCATGATTTGAAGATACGCCCCTGGGCGGGCTGATGAATATGGGGTTTTTTTACTTTTTTTTTTGGATGTATGACATTTTCAAGTTGGCGTTGACGCACGGAAGTGTCTTTATTTTCTTTATTTTCTTTGTTTATCTTTTTTTTCTGGGAGAGGCTTTTTGCTATTTTGACCCAAGGGTCTTTTCTATGTGCATAGACTTTTCGCATTGGCGGGACATTTCGGGACTTGTGCCCTTTTACGATATGATACCTCGGTGTGGCATCAATCTACACCACTGCATTCTACTTCACTTCAATCTCTGACCTTGTAAAGTTAACTATTTTCAAGAGACCTCCGTGTGCAACGTTTTGTCCGACAACGGCCGACACTCGATCGGGCATGGGGAGATGATCTTTTGTGTTGTGTGTAATGGAGCTGTGAAAACTGCTGCCCAAGTGGGACGCACGGGATCCATTCCGAGTTGACGGTAGATGGGTCTGAGGTGAGTTGGATGAGGTTTACAGTACCAACCCTGTGCAGCTCGTAGTTAATGGACCTATAAAGGGTGACATACATTCCAACACCTAACGATGAGAGATATATATATGTACCTATGTGTACCGGATTTTCCCTGACGGGTGGGGCTTTCCTATTTAGGCTGGCGCCGCTTTAATGAGGGCGCTCAGACTTAGGCCCTCAGAGTAGATATCAGCACGAGATCAGAGTCAGTGATGAGTTCATATTAGTCACGTGTATGATGACTGATTGTATGTAGATGCTCATTAGATGCTCACTGATTACTCAGACTATGCCTTTAATGGAACAGCCCCACAGGGCCGTTTATACTGTGATGCCTATCTAATTCCATATAGCATCACACCTGCCCTCATTTTCTGAACCACCCCATCTCACCAAGAACGTACGTCATGACCACAGGGCGCGGGAAAAAGTGGAGGGCTTCGTCCCTTTTATGATGTTACAGTTAAAAGTTCTTTCTGGTCTCTCATAGAGAGTAGCTCGAGCTTAAAATCTCAAATATAAAAGCAAAATGTGTGCCACCCCTAGCATGTTGATCATTCACGCGTTTTCTCTCTAAGCATCTGTAAAGGATATGCCCGGGCGCACATTCTCTCACTCGGCCAAAAGACCATTATATCAGAGCATGTGCTCTGATATACCCGGGACCAATATATATAGTATCGCACATAGTTATCCGTGACATGTACACACTAGTTAGCTCAGGAGAACTTCTCTCCTTAACGAAACCTTCTTGTCAACAAAATCCGCCTACGTTACATAACGAGGCCAGTTCCCTAACATTATTTATCTATAAAATTTACTACCTAGCCGGGTAGTTTGACCCTCTGCCGACCTTTAGAAACTAGACCCCTTGTCGCGCCCTTAGAAAATTCCTGGCTGTGCGAGCATGAGGGATCATTTAATAAATGAATGAATGTCTTAAAATGCCTGTAAAAATAACATTCGTTCTATAAAGAGTAAATGTGATATACTAAACTCGAGGGGCAAACACCCTACACTTTCGCAGTAAATTCGAAGCATGATGAGCTTCCTTTTTAGGTGGGCTCATGGATACGTCTTGATATAATGATCGATTCATTTTTAGTGGTATTTATTTAGATCTACTCGGAAAATGTAGTGGGCAAAGATGGTAAGAAGACCGTCAAGGTTGATAACTTGAGCAACTTATTGGCTGTTCTGGCGAATACTTAATACAGCCAGCTTGTTACATGGAAATAATCAGTTACATTACAGTTACATGATCCGCACCGCCGCAGCTGACCAAGAAAAATCAGTAAGTAATTATGGAGAGTAATGTAACATACCATGTATATTTTCATTTATATTATAGCTCCTAAGTGATCTGCCAAGTATTGAATTTCTAGTTATCTTAATCTACTATTTCAATTATCCTTATAACTTCTCAAGGGTGGTATATCAGCTTAGGATAGCCTTTTAAAGAAAATGCTGCCCAGATCAAACCTCATAGCACTCGTATCGAAACCCACCTTTAGCTTCAGCCACATGTTTAGAATGGAATTGCAATAGTTGGTCTGTGGACAAAATTAATGAAAAATGCGTGGGACCGATCTACGAGTTCGACATGGTTACGTAGAAACTTACTCATCCCAGGATGGCGATATGCACTCCCAGGGACTTATTGGCTCCTAGGAACCTCACTAGGTACTCCTGGTGACGGCCTTCCTGTCCCAGAAACGGCCGCGTTATTCCCAGGAACCGCTAATTTCCATTTATTCACATGCAGGACAGAGAGTACATTGATTGTTTTTGAGCTAAGAACCACGGGCGGTTCTTCTAGGCGAAAACCCGACCCGACCTGCGTTTTGGCGAGGCCTAAGTCTGAAAGCATTGTATATGCAAAGCTGACAGTCCTCGAGATACAAGGCTATGTGTCAGCTGAACATGATCAGTTTCAAGGTTGTTTGCTTATTCTGTCCAACCTCTTTCTATAAATACTGTTCATTGTCCACTCTTCCTCTTCGATCCACAAATATTTATCTTTCAAATCATCCTCCATTGTTTTCAAACCTTTTAAATTCACAATCCGTCCTTCCTCGCCTCAAATCTCTTACAATGGGTTCCATTGAACGGA